GAAAACGAAGCGTTTGAGAGAGGCGGGGCATAGAGGACCTACAATAATGTACAGTATTTGAAAAATAATGTGTTTTTTGAACATTAAAGCATGTCAACATATTCTGTTACACCAAATACACAAAATGATCTTTAAAAAAGCATCATATGACCCCTTTAACACAGCAAGGGGCCGTTCACACCGAACATGGTTGTACTTGCAATGAATTTAAAAAGTGCAGCATCTAGACACGTTTTAAACAGTTTAGCTGCTTTTAACTCGAGCACCTTGTGAAGGCTGTGTCATTTGCGGGACAAAGCAAAAGACTTGGGACATAAGCGCAATGCGTGTTAAGATATTAAAACAATGAAAAAGCAGTGCAGTGGATTGCGTCAAAGTCCCTTTAAGGCAAGTCATGTCACTCGGTGGCCATCTTTGAAACGCCTCTCGGGCATGCCTCTCGGGCAGCTGCAGTAACGCGCTGACTTTACCGATTAGCGATTGGCTCTTTTACTCAGTAGGCGGGGCTTCGTTCAATAGAGAGGCCATATTGAGCGTTGCATTTTTCCCCATTCAAAACTACACGAGTGACACGTCTTGGATATTCTATAGTCTTTGATTGCGTTCAGTGTGAACGGCCCCCAATTCAGAGTTGATATGCTCAGGTAAAAAGAAATCTTACATCAGATACTCCTGGATTAGAAGGGAATTTTGTCTCTGGTGCTCCTGGAGACTGAACTTTTATAAGCTGATATAAAAAGAGCGTCTATAGATCAGTGCAGGGACTCCTTTTGTTGAGTTTTAACAGCAGCTAAAAGTGTTTTAGTGTGACCTAAAAAGCTTTGCTTTTTATGCTGTTCCAAACCCATACTGTGACGTTATTGCGTACAACACAAAAGTAGTTATCTAGCATGATGTCCAAGCTGCTGTTTTACTATGAAATCAGTGATTACCGTAGCTGTCCCTGATCCCCATCCGCTTTAATTGCATGGAAAAAAGCAGCTTGGACATTCTTCTTAATATCTCCTTTTGTGCTCCTCTCTAGAAAGTCATCATGAGGGTGAGTAAATGACAACTGAGTTTTCTTTTTTGGGGTGAACTATCCCTTTAATAATGATTGATGGTTGCTCTCATTCTGTCTGTGTTCATCCTTCGCTGAGTTTCCTCTCACCTCCTGGTCTGTCTTCTCTCTTTCCCAGCATATGCGAGAGGCTGCAGAGAGGAGGCAGCAGCTAGAATTAGAGCATGAACAAGCCTTGGCCGTCCTTAGTGCCAAGCAGCAGGAGATTGACCTTCTGCAGAAGGTGAGAGATCAGGGTTTCCAACCACACCAAATCCTTTGGAGCTCATGCACAGGCCAGAGTGTAGAAGACCTTGCATCATGCTTAAGCTTCTGGTATCTGTTTAAACAAGGCTTTTGCTAAGGCTGATTTCATAGCTGATTTCATAGCATTATATGTATCCTAAATAAATACAAAATAAATAATATTTTCCAACTTTTTGCATCATTTGACAAAACTGTATTAGGGCCAAAATTTTTGGTTGTATGTGACAGTTTAATAAAAAAATATATAAATCACATAAGTATTCAAATTACACTCTTTGTTTAAATTATATGTAAAAATTGTAATTATTTTTTATGATGGGTTTTCATAATTTAAGATAGAAAGTCTCATTTTAGAACAATAAAATATTTACATATAAGGTGTATTGAAGAGATTATTGATGAAGGCATAGTAAAAAGTGTCCAAGATCATTTTAATGCGAGTTTCATAATAAATGATGAAATATGTTTTAATTAAAAAAAAATCAACCCCTGTGACAAAAAAAAGCTTAAAATTGTAGAAACACCCAATAATAAAATCCAGCTGTTCAGAATGCTCTTAATGAAGAGAGATGTTTAATGAAAAAGTGTTTCAGCAATTTTAGATAACTCTGAAATATTCCTCTCATTTCTCGTCTGAATGAAGAGAAAAGTGCCGCTGTCTCACCACTCAGAGTAAATTACTCTCTAATGAAATGGCAGAGCAGGTGATCAAATCTGACATATTCTCCAGAATGCGTGCACATTGTCACCCTCTGAAACATTTGAGTCATTGTCTGTCTTTATTGAATGGAGCACTGTGATTACAGAGGAGAATAAACAGAAGAAATGGCACACACTCTCATCAGAAGAAGTCAAGACATTAAGAACCCAGTTTTGTTGTTCTGAAGGTGAATCTCCATACATAATTCTGAAATGTTCCCTCATGTTGTGATACTGCAGAGGCTGACACTCCAACAGATGTTCCTCTATTCATGTGGAACTGAATGCTGTTTTCCACAGCTGCTGAGAGTTACAATGAATGACCCTACAATGCACTGCATCCGATCACAAGTCCTTGTTGCTTAAAGCTTATTCAGTCAAACTTGGGAATAGAATGTTTATACACTAGGAACATGCAGGAATATATTTGGCTGTGACTTTTATGAAGTATGGCATGACTGACTTGGTCATATATTATTTTTGTGTTGTTTATAGGCTCAGGTTGAGGCTAAGAAGGAACATGAAGGTGCCGTCCATCTGTTAGAGGTGAGTAATGATATCTACTCATGAATGTCAGTGCATGTGTATGTGAGTGTGCATATAAGCATGCATTTTAAATCGTATCTTGACTGACCATGATAGTATAGCACATTCCACATGCGTCATCGTATATTTTCTCATATTAGCCAAAAATCTGGCTACCATATGAGTCACATCTTAGCTTACACCACTTTATGACATTTGAAAAAAACATCAGAAAAATGTATTAAATAAATAAAAAATCTTGTGTAAATATCCTTGCTAACCAGCTTGATTAATAATTGTTTTAAACTAATGTACATCTCTCTGATACATATTTAATGATTTATTTACCATATTCTACTTTCTTGTTTTCATTCATTGCTGCCATTAATGGGCGATTGAGGGAAAATGGGGTTGAAATTGTACTCATGTTGGGTCTCTGTGACTTTTGAAACTGTAGAAATGCTCGTGTGTGCAACTGTGATTTGTTTGGTTCCTTGCATCTCTTGTCACTGTGTTACTGGTCTTTTTTTTTTTTTTTTTTTTTTTTTTTTATAAAAATAGTGTTTAATATTCTAATATTATACAATTCATTAATGTTTGTTTTTTTTTTTTTTTTTTTTTTTTTTGCATATACAGAATCACTTGGACAGCATGCAGGTATTTTCGAGTTACTTCTCCTCAGAGTTCTCTCTCTCCTCCCCGTGTGACTCACTGGGGGTAGTTCCTGTCACCTCGTTTAGCTGTCCTGTCAATTACTGTACTGCTCATCCATGATTGATCTGTAAACATTTGATCAATATCTTTGATCTATATCACCGTAGATCAAATTATTGAAGCTTTTTAGTACAAACCATCAGTCTTCATAGTCATTTTATACATTACTGACAAAAGTTGCTTATGTGTTTTATAAATGTTTAAAGTAAAAGGGTCAAATTTTGCTTGTCTTCAAAGCCAAACAGCTGCTTTTTATTGCATTTTTAAATTTAAATTTAGATTTTATGTATTTATGTATGTATTATTTTTTGATAATGTTATAACATCAGGAAAATTATCAAAAAACATTTTTAAATTTAATTATTACTAGCTATATATACATTTTATTAAACTATCTACCTACCTACCTATGTCTATTTATGAACATTATTTTATTTTCATAAAAAAGTATTTGGGTGGATAATTTAGTTTTTATTTAATTTATAGACTAATATTAATAATTATATTAGTCTATAAATTAAATTAAAACTAAACTTCTTTTAACAATAAATGCATAAAAATATACACCTGTATATCAAATAGAAAAAACGATTAAATATAAAAAATATTATCATATTTAAATATTACAATTAATTGTTTGTTACTATTATTTCAGTTATGTTATTTTTTGGGGTGGTGGAATGTCTTTGTTGCCATCCAAATAGATATTTATCTAATGAAAAACAAAGACAAAAGTTGCCTGTGAATTACCTCTACCTTCAGTAAAGCAAGAGTAAAAATGTCTTCAACTGTGGATTTTATTTATTTATTCTTTTTTGATTGGAAACCGTTCTGTTATCCCCTCATTCCTCTTGGGAGGCAGGTTTTTTGATTGTACAGAAGCTAAACACAGGAGATAAATGAAGATGAGGGCAGCCTCTGTATTTGAGGGCATGTTCATAAAGTACAAATGAAAGTGCTGCAAAAGCCAGTTTGCTCTTTTAACTAAGTGGTAAAAGTTTCTCATTCACTGCCTGATCCTTTCAGCTCCTCCTGTGTTGCAATGCATGGGTGCTGCCTTGTGCTGAATCCTGTTAGCACCTCATGGATATGTGCGTTTGCAGATCAGATCAGCAACAACAAACATAACTGATGGATTGCAGAACGTGACATGTCTCCCTTCCACCACCCTCCTTTAATTTGCTTGCCCAAAAAGCCATATTTAGTGATTTATGCGAACTTGTAACTGAGCATAAACATGTTGCATAAGACATACTGTAAGTATAACAGGTCAAATTACAGTTGTATGTTGACTTGTTAAAATGCAAACACACATGATTCTCTAATGTGGTTAATAGTATTGATGTACAAATATACATGCGAGTTTCGTCAAATCATCAGGCATAAACAGCTTTTACTGTTATTTTGGCATGTGTGGTACCCTCCTCCATTTAATAGTACTTCCCATCGCTAACATCATGATCAAAAAAGAGATTTGATGTACAATAACAGCTGAACATAGATTGACTCCTGTCTTTGTTTGATTCTGTTGGTGTCTGAAGCTGAGAAGTTTCCTTCGCACTAAGAACACAATGCGATTTTTGGTAGGAAAAACCTCCTTTTAGATGTAGGCCATTTTTTGTAGTATTGTAGGTTGCTTACCACATTCACAGTTGGTAGAGTTTGTAGGCTCCATTCATTAGCTTTCATCGGTTAGTTAATGTGAAGTATAGATGTTAATAAAGCTGTAACCAGTTTTAAATGTCAATGCTTTTATCACAGACCAGCCAAAATGGTCTGTATATGTTTTTAATCCTAGCCTTTCTCTTTTTTTTCTTTCTTTCCTTCCCTCTTTTTCTTTCCAGGCTAAAGTGAGAGAACTGGAGGAAAAATGCCGGGCACAGAGTGAGCAGTTTAACCTGCTGTCAAAAGAGTTGGAGAAGTTCAGGTTGCAGGCTGGGAAGTTAGACATCCTGAGCAGCAGTCAGCTGACAGGGGGCGACTCGCCTGGCTCACCCACCAAACCTCTCACCCTCTCCCAGCTTCTCAACGGCCTCACTGCCCCCTCTGGGAAAGGTACAGTATGCATACTGAAGAAGGTCATGTGTTACACTTCCTTAAAGGTCCCCTGAAATGCTTAGAAACACGCAGTGTTACTCTATGTGTTGACGTCATTTTAACTGAAACAGGAAGACAGGGCGGGACATATCAAGCAGCC